GTGGGAGGGGGTAGGGGGGAAGTAGAGAGGCCTGAAGTGGAAGAACAACAGGCGCATGGCTGATTCATCCATGAGTGAAGGAGGCAGTGGCCATGGGGCAAGGACCTGGCCCAGAAATCTAGGAGCCTGGATAGGGCCCAGCTCTGCCATCAGCTGGAGGCCCTGGTTGGTGGGAAGCAGCCCCTCCTTGCCGCCTCACAATAGTCTGCTGGTACTCAGCCAGACGGGAAACTCCCCTCACCCTGTGCCATGTTAAAAAGACACATCAGGTCGTAGGGCAGAGTCTAGCACCCACCACATGATGGAAGGGTGTATGAGTTTCTTACGGCTCCTGTAACAAATAACCACAAATTTAATGGCTTAAAACAACACACATTTATTATTTTACAGTTCTGGAGGTTAGAAGTCCAAGAGTAGCCTCACTGGGCTAAAGACGAGTTGTCAGCAGGTCTGTGTGTCTTCTGGAGGCTCTAGGGAGAATCCGTTTTCTTGCCTTTTCCAGATTCTAGAGGCCCCTTGCATTCCTTGGCTTGTGGGCCCTTGCTCCAATTTGCCGTCACGTCAACTTGTCTATTGCCTTCATCTTCTTGCCTCCCTCTTGTAATGACCCTGTGATTACCGTGGGCCCTCCCAGATAATCCGGGACAATTTCTCCACCTCAAGACCCTGAACATGATCACATCTGCAAAGTCAGGTATTCACAGGTTCTGGGGATTAAGATGTGCACATCTTTGGGGGGCCATTATTCTTTCTGCCAATGAGGGCAATCACGGAAAGCTGGCAAAAGGAGGTGACATCCTTAATCCTCCTGCGGTTTCACTGAGGTACCCAGTGGGACCTTCACTCCTGCTGAGGAGCGATCTGATCCTGGTAATCTTGTCTGGGGGTCTGAGCACCAGGAACCAGAGCGTGCTGGTTGGGTAAAAGGCCTTCCCTTGTGCCAACCTTCCCAGCAGCTCCTGGCCAGGCACCAGCTATGACCTTGGTTCATACTGACCCCTTAGTTTCCTGAGTCTCCTTCCCCCCACCCGGCTTGCTCCAGATTTAATGTCTGGCCTTGCCCACACTCTAAGAGTGCTCCCCACCGACTTGATTCCTTTGCTGTCACAGCCCCCACTCCTAGCCCCAGAGGCAGTCTGCTGCCTCTTGAATGACTGTGGGGCTCTCCAGCCTGGCAGCTCAGACCCACCCTCTCAGCCCTCTCCACTAGGGTGAAAACTGCACACATGGGCTCTCTCCAGCTCACTACAGAAAACCCAACCCCAAGACCCAGAGTCGAGGAGGGGGTCATGCACGATCATGAGGTCCAGCACTGGGGAGTCCCATGGGACAACTGGCCCACATCTGGAATTAAGCTGGAAATTCCAATTGCTCTCCTCTGCTAAGAAATGTGTCAAATCTTCCCAGAGATCCCATGGAAGTGGGAAGCAGTGTGGAGGTGGGGGCACTCGCTCCACAGGATCCAAGAGCTTTAGGGAAATCCAGATGTCACAATGTGTCCACAGTCCTCTGGCTGATGGTTCCCCCGGCTCCCCTCAGCTCTGCTCCCTGCCCCCGTGAAAATTAAAGACGCCTGGAGTAGACAGAGTAGTTCATTTCTTGCTAGGACCCACAAGTCTGTCCGTGTGTGCGTGTGAAACTATGACTTTTTTTAATAGGGATTGAGTTATTTTTTCCTGGAAAAAAAAATGTTGACATGTCTTTGGAGGATTGTCTGCCCAGAAAATCCCCAAATGCACAAAGAAGGCATGCTCTTCTCTTCTCTCTTCTCTCTCTCTCTCTCTCTCTCTCTCTCTCTCTCTCTCTCTCNCTCTCTCTCTCTCTCTCTCTCTCTCTCTCTCTCACACACACACACACACACACACACACACACACACACACACACACACCTCTCTGTGACCCGGGATCTCACCAACCATGTTGTTTGGGCCCTTCAGGGCCTCACCTACACTTTTAGCCCAGCTCCATCCAGTGGGGGATGGGGAGTCCATGGAGCTGGGCCTTGGAGTTAGAGACAGGCTTGGCCACTTGTTAGTTCTGTGTCTCCAGGCAAGTGTATGAGTTTCCTGTTGCTGCTATAACAAATCACCACAAACTGAGTGACTTAAAACAACACAAATTTATTTCCTTTCAGTTATGGAGGTCAGAAGTCCAAAATCAGTCCCACTGGACGAAAGTCAAGGTGTTGGCAGGGCCGGTTCCTTCTGGAGTTTCCAGGGGAGAACCCATTTCCTTGCCTTTTCCAGCTTCCAGTGGCCACCTGTATTCCTTGGCTTGTGGCCCCTTCCTCCATCTTCAGAGAACATCACTTCAATCCTGCTTCTGTCATCACATTACCATCTCTAATTCTGACCCTCCTGCATCCTTCATATAAGGATGCTTTTGATTACACTGGAACCGCCTGGATAATTGCCATCTCAAGAGCCTTAATTTAATCAAACCTGCAAAGTTCCTTTTGCCATATAAGAACATTCACAAATTCTGGGGATTACCTGAACATATTTGGGGACCATTATGCAGCGTTCCACAGCAAGTGTCCCTCTTTGGGCCTCATCTGTGGCTTCAGAGGGTTGGTCTCCAATGGACTCTTTTAGCTCTGTCACTAAAGATGCTGAGTCTCTGCCTTACAGGACCTCTGGTGAAAGAAGCCTGGACCTCAGCCTCCCTGCACTCATCGCTGAGTCTCTGGGATTCATATTGTCTCCCGTCCTTTGTCAGAAGGGAGGCCCTGTCTACCCTGCATCCATCACCAGGAGTCTGATGCTCAGTCTATACCCGAGAAGCATCTTCAACCTGTGAAGAATTCACCCCAGCCCCAGCTTAGTTTAGGATCTGAATTATACCTTTCTCCAAGGCAGGGTCCTCAACTGTTCGTCTGTGATGTGGGGACAAGAATCCTGGACCCGATTTAAGGATGTTAGGTCAGCATCCAAGATGTCTGAATGGGAGCAGCAGGGATGTGGGGACTCATTTCCCATAGCAGTCCTCACAGGCTCCACTTTCCAGAGCTCAGGCTAACCCAGTCCTAGTGTGACCTTAAAAATCTCTCACCAGGGAGTCGGAGAGGGACAATATGGACCCAGCTTGGGCAGTCTCATGGGACCCAATCGGACAGGCTGGTGCCCTTAGAGGCCACCTGAGTGAAGTGCCGCTTAGAGCCAGAACTTCCTTCTCTCTTTCCCTTTCTTTCTTCCTTTTCCTCCCTTCCCTTCCATCCCTTTCTTCCTGTATGATCCAGTGCTTGGTCCTATGTCAGGCGTAGGCTACAAAGCGGGAAAGGGTCAGTCCTTTGGCCGGTGAGAAGGCAGTGGGGACACAGCCACTGAATACCTGCTCCCCTGCAGTGTGCTGGGCATGGGTCCCTGGAGTTCCCTGAAGCCCCGTGGAAGCCAAACGAGACGGCCTAACATGACAGGAGGGCTTTCCGGAGCTGGTGGTGCTACATGGTACACTTAGATTATTGAGTCCAACTTCACATACCATGTGAGGAGAGGCAGCTGTGCTTTGGCTCATGCAGTGCCCACTGCTTGATATTTTTCCACTCTCTTTTCCTGGATAACTCTGACTCAGGTGCCTTCTCTTCCAGGAAGTCTTCCCTGAAGTCTGGGGAGGCTAAATTTCCCCCTCGATGCTCCCAGCGCCCCCACAGAGAATCTCATCATGTCCAGGCGAGGAACTGATTTTATCCTGCAGATGAGAGACAGCTACTGTCTTGAGAAGCCTCAAGTGGAAGAGGGACTATGTCCAGTGAGATGATACGGGGCTCTGCTGAGCTTATTTTTTAAGAGCTGATGGAGCTCTACAGATCACCTAGTCCATCCACTCCTCTCCGCACAGAAAGAGCACCAAGGCCCCCTTTCACAGCTCTGGTTGGTGGTGCTGGTTTCAGCCCTCTGCCCTTTCTCTCCTGGTTTCCATGAACCATCCTGTCTTGATGGTGGCCGTGTCCTGACCACCTCTGTGTCCACAAGTGCTTGATGACCTGACATGAGGGGAAATGAGCCCACCAGAGACCAGTGTTCAGAGAGTAAATTGTGTCACAATTTGGTCACGTACTGGCCTAATACCCAAGGTGGTGACCAGGTTTCACATGATCCCTTCCCTGGCAGAGATGTGAAGAGAAAGATCTGGATCTGAGTGCTGGCTCTGCCTCTTCTGAGCAGCGTGGCCTCTTTGAGCTCCCACTGTCTCCTCAGCAAAATGGGGACAATAATTGGACATGCCTCACAGGTTCGTTTTGACAACTAAATAAGATAATGTATGAGAAGTCTGTGATTCTCTGGCGGGCACATTGCTATGCCTCTTCTGACTGGCGACTAAGTATTATTCTCTGTTATCTGAGCCCCACCATTCCCTCTTCATGCTCTCAAACTTCTGGAATCAGGAACGCAGTCTGATTAAACTGATTTATACTGATCCCAGCCCTAGCTCTACCCAAAGAGATTCTGATTTATTAGGTCTGGGATGGGATCCCCAAAGCACTTCTTTTATGAATCTTTTTTTTTTTTTTAAATAAACATCCTTAGTGATGCCGAGGTTTGGTCCGGTTGAGGAGCCACTGGAATAAGTGATGATGAGATTTTATTTTAATAAAGGCCAACTTGTACCCTCAAAAATTGTGGCTTAGCTTAGAGGTACCTTCCCATGGTCCCTGGAACCATAGCAAGTAGGATCCTCTCACTTTCCATTGGGAGGGTGGCATTCCTCCAGAGCAGCTCTGCTGGAAGCGGTGGGGGCAGCGCCAGCTGTGTCCCCTCCTGCAGCTGTTTCAGTGCCATGACCTAGTGGAAATCACCGTGAAACTCATTCTCCACATCACCCAAAGCTGGGTCAGGTGAGACTACTAGCTGGAGCAGCTGATCCCACTAGAGAAGAGGCTCTGCAAACCAAGGAAATATACCCACCCACCTCCACTCAGCTCCCCCAGGGATCCCCCAAATACCTGCCTTCTTGGGCCAACAAGTGCCTTTTGTCCCAAATCAATTCATGCCTTCTCGCCGGAAGACTTTCTTTACTCTGCATCAGGAAGCGCCCAGCTCTTGCTTTTCTGTAAGTTCACCATGACTGTTGGCTTTGGAAGGTGGTCGTGGCTAGATTCCACCTCAGCCCAGGGACACCCTGAGGCCTGGAACAGAGCTAGCTGTTGTGGGAAAATGCGAGTGGAGGAGGCAAGGAAAGCTGTAGCTTAGAACCAGTGTGGCCTCTGCACATTTCACTCATCCCTGTGAATGGCAGCGGTGGGGGCTTTCCCTGCATCAGGGAACTCGGCCTTTTTATTAGCTGCAGGGAGGTGCAGAAGCAGGGGTTTGGCGGAGGAAGAGGGGGAATGGCCCAGAATGAGAGCCCTGTCCTCCGCCAAGGACACAGGACTGTTGACGTGGGAGAGATGGGCACAGCCTCTGGATCGAGTCCATGGTGAGGAGGAAATGGTTTTCACTGAAAAACAAAGTTGAAAAACAGTTTACTGAAAGGAAGAGAAAGAGGAAAGGGGGGGGGGAAACACCTCAAACTGTCTGATCATCAAAATCACCTGGGTAGTTGGTTAAAAATACAGATTCCAAAACTCATTCCAAGTCAATAAAATATTATTCATAACAAATCCGGGTTTCTTTTCCTTGTGGTTTAAAAATACAGATCCCTTGTCAATTAGATCTCAATAAAGCTGGGGGAGAATTAAGTTACAGGTAAAAGCAGTAAAAGAATTAAAATCAGTTGTATAAGAAGACAAATTTTCAGAAGGGATTGAGAGGAAGTGGAGGTAAGGAATGTAAATTCAATCTTTACTTTTTTAAACTGGACATCAATATCTAAATTTGAACAATTAATAATATAATGAGCTGTATGTTGTAATAAAAGCAGAACCTGCTATTAGAAATAAAATAAGAACCAGTCTTTGAAAAATGTAGATTTCTAAAGCAAGAAAATATCCTCAAATTTCATCACATTTCTAATTGCAGGCATTTGTTTGCTTAGAAAAGGAAGTTGACTATTAAGATCCTAATGATAGTTATTAAGTTAGGAAATATTATAATGTCACACTAAATTGTGTTTGGTACATTCTGATAATAGATAATGAATGAGAATCTTGCTTGGAAAGAATTCAGTGCAACTCCTCATTTAGTGAAATGACTATTTCTCTGTGTGATATTTCATTACAAAGCCAGAATCAAGAACTTGAAAAAAAAAAAGAAAAGAAAAATGTAGATTTCAACTCACATAGCTTGGCAGACCCCTGGGTGGGTAGGTGTCAGAGGTGAGGTGAAGAAATACCTCAGGAATCAACATCATGGATTATGTGTCTATTTTCTAACTGGGCTGGCGGAAGAAGGGAGAGAAGGAGACACAATGGGATCAGAAAAAAAGAAAAATCCAAAAAGACGCTTCTCTGCAGCCAGGCTGGGTCTTCCTCTATACGAATCTGTCTCATCCTTCCTCTCTCACTCAAGTTTCCCGAGTGTCTCCATTCCCCTTCTCCATTTCTTCCTCTTCTCCCTTCCATGGTCATGCCCTCGCCCCCTGAATAGTGGAAGGCTGAAGAAGGATCACCCACACACACCAAGATGTGCGTGTCCTGATCCCTGGAACCTGTCAATGTCACCTTTTATAGGAATTTGTACATGTAATTAAATTCGGGATCTCGGGATGGGAAGATTATCTTGGGTGATTTGGGTGGGCCTAATGTAGTCACAGGGGCCCTTTAAGAGGGAGTCAGGAGATTAAAGCAGAGAGGACAGTGTGATGACAGAAGCAGAGACTGGAGTCATGCTCTTTGAAGAGGGTGGAAGGGGCCGCAAACCGAGGAATACAGGTGGCCACTAGAAGCTGAAGAATGCAAGGGGACAAGCTCTCCCCCTGGAACCTCCAGGAGGAACTGGCCCTGCCAACGCCTTGACTTTAGTCCAGTGGGGGCTGGTTTTGGACTTTGGACCTCCAGAAATATAAGAGAATAAGGTTGTGTTATTGAAGTTACTCACTTTGTGGTAATTTCTTATATAGCAGTAGGAAAGTCATAACCCTTCTGACCTGGGCCCTGCCCACCCCACTCGGCCCTCACCACCCTGTTGCCCTTCCCAGTGCCTCTCGCTCCTGACCTCTTGGCAATGTTTGATGTTTTCCTCGTTGCTCTTTCTTAAACCTTGTGACAGCGACTGCCCTAGTGGTCCTCCTGACTCTCAGGTCCTCCTCAGCCCCCTTCCCAGCACTCTCCTACCCCACCTCCAACATGGCCTGTGCTCCAGGGTTCTGTCCTGAACCCCCTTCTCTTCTTACTCTCTACTTTCTGGGGAGGTTGCGGGGGTCAGCGTGTCCCCGTGATAATCCCAAATCAAGGCCATGTGCTCCACACCCTAGTATCCAACGGCCGAGTTGTCCCCCTGCCTCCTCCTCAGCAAACCAGTATTTCTACCTGAAGTGCATTCCCCACTTTCTATGCCTATTGAAATCTGGTTTACCTGTTCATTCCTCAAGGTCCGGATCAAATATTACTTCCTCCAGGAAATCGTCCCTATCTGTCTTGCCAAGTGTGTTTAAACTTTTTTGATTTTTTTAAATTTATAAACTTTATTTTTTAGAGCAGTTTTAGGTTCACAGCAAAATTGAGTGGAAAGTACAAAGAGTTCCCTGCAGCATTTATTTTTCATCGGCTGTTGTGTGACCAGCTTTTACTTTATGTTATTTATTCTGCTCTGTGAGGTAGGGATGGGTTTTCTTCTTTGTCCAGCTTTATTGAGGTATAATTGACAAATAAAAATTGCATATATTTAAGGTGTACAATGTGATGTTTTGATGTATGTGTACATTGTGAAATGATTACCACAATCAAGGTAATTAACATATTCTTCACTTCACATAGTTACCTTTTTTTATGTAAACAATTAAGATCTACTCTCTTAGCTATTTCAAGTACGTAATATTTTATTAACTACACTCTTTGTGCTATACATTAGATCTCCAGAACTTATTCAAACTGCATAACTGAAGCTTTGTATCCTTTGATCAACAGTTCCCCATTTCTCCCACTCCACCATTCTGCGATCTGTTTCTATGAGTTGGACTTGTTTAGAGTCCACATTAAATGAAATCACGCAATATTTGTCTTTATGTGTCTGGTTTGTTTCACTTAGCATAATGTCCTCCTCCACTTTCATCCACGTTGTTGCAAACGACAGGATTTCCTTGTCATGTGCTTGTTACCTGTTCCCATTTGTTGGCCACACAGGATTGTGCACCCCTTAGAAGCAGAGCCATGGCCTGGTCAGCCTTGGACACTGGGATGGATGGAGCTCTAGAAAGTTCCATCCCTCCACACAGACTTGATAGAAACACCTGACCAGGAGGTAGAACCCTGCGCCAGCTTCCCTGCCATTCTCTTGTCTTCTGGCTTAGAGCAGGCTGCCACAGCCAGGTCACCTAACCTTACAGGTTCATAACGACAGATGTCAAGTGTTTTGCATGGTACCTGTGGCCCAGCGGGAGCTCACAAGTGGTAGCCTCCCTCCTCTGGTGGGGGTGTTGCTAGCTCTGTGACCTCACTCCCTACACTCTTTCCTTGTTTCCTCTGCTCCAGTCATGCTGGCCCCCTTAGCTCTACTCAAACATGGCAGCCTTGCTTTTGCCTCAGACCCTTTGCACTTGCTGTTCCGTCTGCTTCAATGGGCTTCCTCCAGATAGCCATA